TCAGCTGCCTGTTAAAAATCTGGATGTTCTCAGAGCTGGAAGGACCATAGCACCCACTCATAAAGTTCCTTCTTCTGCAGATCAGAGAGGGGTGTGTGTGCCCAAAGTCTCAGTCTGGAACCGTGGAGTCCTGATTTCCAGCTCTCTGTACAGTGCTCTTTCCTCTCAATAAGTGGTTTTTAGCCTGCAGTCTGGTTCAAAGACCAATTTCTCAAGTGCTAGACCAGGCCCTGTGGACGAGCTAAAATGGTGAACACCATTTTGTTTGTGTCTGCTTTTGTGCCCATTACCGGAGAGAATCCACACCTTCCATCTGATTCTTACAGAGACCAGTGACCCAGAAAACCATAAGTACCACCGCTCTTGATGATTTAATAGTGTCATTTAAAAACTACCAGAGTAAGTTAAATGTTGTACATACCTCATACCTCCACCAGATGCCCTGGAAAAATTATTTAGTTGTTTAAGATCAGTACATAATGGGTGCATCTTTCAGATGGTTAGGGATAGTTGGAGCACCAACTATCTTACTGTTTCTTTAGAAAAATTTGGCCAGCACTCACATATTAAAATCAATTTGTGATTCAAAAGCAATACAAAATGGAGGGCTAATTAGGCATTATTTCCCTTTGTAGCTATTGCAGTAGTTAAGGGAGAGAAGCTGGGATCTCTGCAGATAAATTGTGTAAATGCAGAGGCAAACTTAATTGAAGTTTATTTTTCATGTACCATCATCCAATGTGGGTGCTCAGCAGCTTTTTCAGATGGCGTTTCAGGAACCCAGGCTCCTTTATCTTGGGGCTCTGCCAACTTCTTGGGTCTTGAGTCCTTTACTTCTAGCCAGCAGACAGGAAAATGGGTGAGTTGAAGACAGGCTTTGAGGTTTTATGGAAATTGGGTTTCTCATTTCTACTCACCTTCTACTGGCCAGAGTAAGTCACATGGCCCATCTCCATACAAGGGTGGTGGTGATGAAGCTTCCTAACATCCACTCTACACCAGCGATTTTCATCCGGTGTGCTTCAGAAATATTTAAAACATGCAATACCTGACTATTTAGTCAGGGGCATGGACCTCCTTTCCCTTAGATTGTCACATAAAAAATGACAACAGCCAACTCAACAATAGCCTTCCAGTGTGAATGAATCAGAGTTATACCAATTTTTTTTGTCAGATTGGCAACAAATATATTTTTTGGTGTGCCGCAGAATTTTATAATTAGTTTATGAGTGCCATTAGATGGAAAAGGTTGAAAATTGTTGCTCTACATTAATGAAGAGGGACGTAAATCTTCCTTGGACAGCTGGTCCTCTCAGCTACAGTCAGAGTGAGCATTTTAAGGTTTCCAAATCTCAGAGATGGGTGAGATGTCTGAGGTGGGAATTTCAGACAGCACATGAAGTCTGCATGTGGATTACAGTCTTCGTTTACCTGACATCTTCGGAATTAGGACTGACTGAAAAGTAGTGTGGTTAAGAAAGAAATTATAATTCATTGGCAATTGGAGATGTTATTTTATTTTTTTATGGAGTGGCACAGAGGCTAAGGGCCCAATCTGGATTCTGAGCTGGTTTATATGACAGCAGAACTTGTGTAATTATAGCAAAGAGAATTCTGTTTCCATTTTTACAAAACTGTTGCTACAAGTTTAGCTTTGTTAGTGCATATTTGCCCTTAAAGATGTTTTTGTGCTTGGCAGAAATTATAACAGCACATGCTTTTACCCGATGGGCTTTATTTTCTTTGTGTTGCTTTGTTGCTTCTTGGTTATTTTTATTTGTTTTATACAAGCTTAACCTCTCCTCAAATTATCTTATGATTTTTATTTTGGAACTGGGATTGGCTAGGGTATGAAATTATCATGAATTTCATTTTCATCTTTTTTTGTTAAGATGCTTTTGGTACCACATGGTATTGTTACCATTGTAATTAGCTAATTATTAATAATAGGAAATGAGCAAAAGGGAGGCCAGACATTATAAGCATGGCCATCTGGGCATCTTCACCAGGAAGCTGCAACTTCACACTCCTCAGGGAACCACTGTTCCAGCCTCTGAAAATCATTGGGGGAAGGGGTCCGACAAAGGGGAGATGGATGCATGTGCTGTAAAGTTGGGATGATGTCGGGAGGGTGCCTGTCAGTCTAACCTAGAACAGAGATCATTGTTCAAAGGGGGTGGGGCCACTGCAAGCTCATGAAAATTTGGGAACACATAATCTCCAGATGAAGGAGCTTGCTTTCTTGGCACTCTTGTTCCTCTGGCTTTGCTTCTGCCTGTGTTCTCTCTGTAGCTATGTGGGCCTGTGGACCCCATAGGCAATGGACTGATGGACTGCAGCTGGGAATACTAAATTAGCCTGATGCTGGATTGGACCATGAAAATGTGGAACGGAAACTCTGGGCAACAGCTTTAATCCTAGCTCTGCTGAAAGCAAAATGGGACTTTTTCCTTGGTGGGATGCAGGGACATGGGACCTTGGAAACTTAAGCCAATAAATGCCACTCATTCTCCCATATGAGTCTCAGAACATTCCTTTTCTCGTGACAGTGCAAGAAGCCCACTTCCACTGGCATTCAGTGGGGGGCATGGAGAGCTCCCCACTCACAGCAGTATCAGAACTGGTGACTGGTGAAATATATTTCTTCTACCACTTTACTATGGAACAATTCTCACAAGTGATTTACTTTCTGTTTTCTCATCTATGAGATTTTATTGGTCTAGTGATCTCTTGCTATCTTGGAATTAATGTTTAGGGCTAGGTAGCTTTTTCTGGAGGTTTGAAGCACTATTGATTCACCCAGTGGTGTGCTGGAACTGGATTGTACTAGCCCATGACAGCTGAATATTAGAAACTTGTTTTAACAACCTATGCTACAAATTAAATATCTAAACTCATGAATAAAGGACTTGTATTAAGTACTCACATTTTCTTAATTTTTGTTATATTTTACTATTATTTATGCTCTTGAGGTTCTTATATCTATTGTGTCCATATGCTGGAAATACTATGCAATGGGGTGTTATAGCACCACTCCTTCAAACTCTGCATTCAATGACACCACTTGGGTCGCTTGAAGCTGGCCCTGGTGGGTGCTGTTTGTTAAATGTTTACCAACAGCCGACAGGACTCACCACACAGGCTATATTCCTAATACGGTAGTGTTGAGGCTTGAAGGAGACAAGTATTGCCAGGGACATTGTAGATGCACAATAAAGGACTGCGGCTTTTAAGGCCATTCCTTCAGAAAATCTCAGCCATCACCATGGAGCCTAAAAATGACCTGTGCTACCAGATCATTGCAGTCCAGGGACTCCAAAAGGATACAGAATCTTTCTGTTTATCTGTTCATAAAATGGATTCAGTAATACTTCATCCATCTCTTTCAGGGGTATGTTAGAGGAAAAAATGTCCTAATTGATGTGAGACCATTTTGAATCATTAAGAAAGACGAATTCTATTCCAATTCTTCTCAGATTGGAGGTTGAGAAGTAGCTCTGCACAGGTTTGCTAATTTGTGCTAGTGATGACTTTGAGAAGAAAATGTGCCCCCCCCTTCCCCCCACGGCTATAGTTCAGAGCCATAACTGTGATTCCGCAGCTCTGGTCCCCGGACACGTGCACGATGGTCCATAACCAGGTCTTCTTGGGCCCCTGGCAACTAAGAACAGTGTCATAGGATATGGGCGAAAGGTCACCTGTTTTCTTATCCTGGGAACGACTACCTTTTATTGTGGAATTCGGCTCTTCTGACAATTTTTACATCAATCTATTCTATCTTTATGAAATGACAATGGTAATAGATGGTAGCGGTGCAGGTAGAGTTAATTTCAATGTTTGTACTTGTAAAAAGCTAGAAATTATGCTGATCTCCTTTCTTCAATGTCCAAGTTTTTTTGTGGTTGCTGTTTCTTTTTTTTAATGTTTGTGGTCCAATGGAATATAAAGGCCTAAAACTGCTCCATGTTGACTTTAAATGATTTTTCTGGAAGAAGATAAGTCTTATGGAATTACTCCACAGGTGTCTTACAAGTCAAATAATTCTTAATGGAATTTACTTCTTAGATAACTTGTATCAGCAGCATAACCATGTGTGGGCACTTTTGGTTACTCCTGTCATTGGCTCCTTTCACAAAACTGTTGATAATTATTAAGAAAATCAAAGCACGAACTGAAAAAACCTTGCTATCTCTTCTGCCAAGACAATCTTTTAAAGTCTTAATAGAATTGTCCTTTTGAGAAGAGGTGTGCAAAAAGTGAGCCTTCAAGCTTACAATTGCAATTATATTGTTTGCTCTTTACCTAATGCAATGGTAAATTGCAATTCCGGAAGTTCTTGAGTCTACATCTGGCTTTAACCATTTCTGCCTCCCCTCTAGCACTGTTGATATTAATGCCGATTTTAATTTCTTGGCATCACGGGTGCGTAAACACATCACACACATGTGTGATTTTGAACAAGTACCGAAACTGTAAATTAGGAAGCAAGAGATTCACAGGGTTTCATCAGATCATTTCACTCCAAAAAGTGACACAGTTGTACTGAAAAGGTTTTAAATTGCTCATTTCAAACTTACCTCAGTAGCAAAATGCCATGCGTGCACCAGATTTGCAAACACGTTAGTCATTTTCTTTCCGCCGTCTCCTTGCTGTGTTTGTGTCGGGAGCGCAGAGCAATGTAATTGAGTAAATTATGATCTGATGGCTGGGCAACAGCCCCAGTGTTGAACAGTATTTGGACTATAATTACTTGCTGGCTTTGTCACAGTTGACATTAATTATTGATGGAAGTCTCAGAAATAGCGCGCGTGCCAGGAGCCTCTCCCCGGAGCTCGGGCTCCAGGCAGGAGGGATGCTGAGGGGGGGTGGCACCTGTGGCTGGCGCGGTTGTGCCTGTGCGCAGCGGCCCTGCGCCCGGTGGGTGGGGTGGCACCGTGTGACGGCCATGGTGTGGCAGGAAGATGAACCGGCGGGCTTATTTCTATCGTGTTCCTCCCCAGGAATTGCACCGGAGGAGCCAACTTCAGCCGGAGCCAGCCAAGACGAAGGCTCTCCAGACTGTCATTGAGATGAAGGTAGGGGCTGTTCACATTTGTCAGAAACAGCTTGTGTGTGACTCCGGAGTTTGTTCTAACTTGATGGTGCCTAACAGACACGTGAAATGGATGTTGTGTTTTTCTCCAGGCACCCTGGCGACTGCTTTTATTCTGGATCCTTTTGCCTTCCCGGGTGCATTTAATTTCTGGGCCCTTTAATTAGGATTCCTTCTCCGAGCAAAGGGAGAAAGGGCTCAGGTAGCCCTTGGATGAAAGGAGCTGGCTTCCCTTCGGAGCATGGCCAGTGCTTTCACCCTTAAAGAGAGGTTTTGTGTGGGCTTTAAATTTCCGAACCTGGAAAAATTCTGTTTTCCTCCCACTCACATTACCATGAAAAGACACCTCAAGAAACTAAGATTTGGCAAAGGGAAGGTGTTTTATATGCAGCGGAGTCATTAAATAATTTAAATGATGCTATTAGCAAAATTTACTTATCAAAGAGTAATACCTTCTCTCGACTCCAGTATTTTCTCCTAACGAAGCCTGGAAAGTAGTGATTTTTAAAATACTCCCCAGGTATCCTCTTTAGCTGTGGAAGCCCAGAGATATGCTATTTCAAAGAATCAAAGATCCTCCTGGATGGATTTAGGGCAGTTAAAGAATAATGAAGTAAATGATGATGCCTAAGTCATGATCTGGGATTAAGAAATAGATCTAAATGAAAACCATTTGTTCTGTCAGTATCTAGACATCCGAAGTCTTGTTACTTCCGGTTTTAGCCAGAAGGAAACAAGCAGTAGAGTATTTGTCTTAAGAATAAATAATTCTTGATTTAAATTGCTCCATGAATAAAAAGAATAATCCATAACAATGATGTTTGAAATTCAGTAATTTCACACTTGAGTTTAACACTCAAGAGTTTGCTGGTCACCATCAGCCTACAGGAGAATTGTGAGGCTTGCTGATAGGATAATGGTTTTTCTTTCTGTCTTATAGCACATGATTTTGAACTGTCTGCCAAAAAATCCCCATGTCCTGGGGAAAAATAAATTAATATGAACTCTTGAGTTCTTGGCATGTATGATTCTGACTTGGGATTTTTTTTTCTAGTAAATGACAGAAATTGCTTCATCCAAGTAGATTTTTGTGGAAATAATGTAGAACATTTGCTTTCAAACTGTATGCCTCCTGAAGGTTAAGTGAATCAAGGCACTCGTAATGCATTTGCAGCACATTGGTTTGAAAATTATGCTCAAAGGGACCAACTGCCAGGAAGATTAAAAAATAATTGCTAATTTTGGCTCATCAATTTGCTTTGAATTTATGTAGTTTTAGCTTATTATGAAAAGAAACTTTATTCTGCACCTGAGGGGGAGTGGTTCGTAACTGGGATTTCATCCTTTCTTCACATCAGAACCAAACTTGAAACTTAGTTGAGGCTTAAAAGGAAGGAAGGAAGGAAGGAAAAGAAAAAAGAGACAAAAACATTTATTTTAAAGTTTTTTTAAAATTTTTTTTGCAAACAGTCATTCAGTCCCCTTTCTACCCACCTCCACACATACATCCTCACAATTAGTGATGGAAAAGAGGGGGTGTGTGTGTGTGTGTGTGTGTGTGTGTGTGTTAAAGAATGAGTATGTTCTAAAAACCTTTGGAGAAACCAGGAATGACATCTCTCCCAGTGCTGTGGGCATTTTCCTAGTAGATATCACTATAAAGACAGTTAGTACTTACTTGTGACTTTCATAAGTAGAAAATCTATTGGATTCTAACCTACTGTTTTTAGCATCGTATGTTTTGTTAGAAAACAATAAATAAAAACACTCATTTAGGCTATCTACGTGGATAGTCATAAAAACATAATTTTTACGGCAAATTTACAGCCATGTATCACCTGTAAATTGAGTCTGGAGTTTTCCTCTATGATGCCAATGGTGCTGATCTGTAGAGCACATTTTTACAACAATTGATGATCAAGGTATTGTCAGAGAATTGAACCTGGAGTTTTTCTGTTGTCCTTTGGATACCTGCTTATTTACAAAGCACTGCCTTCTGTCTTGTCAGTGGAAAACTCTAGGTCCCATTAGCATCTACTCAACATACATAAATTGAATTACCGAGGCAGCTGGCAGAGGGTCATTTACCCAGCCATGTGTGTAGCTTGTGATAGAGGCTGTGATCTCATCTGATTTTGTATATTACATCCCTTTTAAGTTGGAGGGAATATTGGAAACCAATATTTTCCAAGCCGTAGGGTTGACTACCAAATAGAATTGACCTTTAATCCTGGTGGGTAGAATTTGAGACCCTGCTGTTTTTTACCTCAAACACCTTTGGGTGAACGTCGGTGTCATCTGAAGCGCCTTGGCAGAATCTGGAGGTGAAGGGAGCTTTCCTGGAGTAAATTGGATCTGTAGTTTCAGGGAGATGACATGAATTAAGGGCTTAGAAGTTACCCCTACTTATCCCTGGCTTCTTAGTGAATCTGAGGGTGACCTTTTGAACCTTCATTTTCTCCACACACGTACTTGGCACCAACTTGAGAAAGGTATTTATTTTGAAAAATCTGTGAAATCCTGCCCAAACTCAAGCGCTTTAGTACCACGATCTCATACTTGTAGTGACTCTCTGTACCCTTCAGCACTTTTGGAGCTGTGAAGATATATCCCAGTGGGGCAGGCCTTGGGGAGGGGCGTTTGTCACCATCACATCTACTGCCAGCCAGCTGGGCCAGGGGAGCGGAAGCCACCTGAAGGAAAACGAAGGGAAGCAAAGTGAACTGAAGTTATTTGTGATTTATCTTCTTGCAGGGAGCTCCAAGTTTTAATTTTGACCCTGATTTGGTCTGGCAGGTATGTTCCAAGTTTGCACTGTTAGAACACTGTGTGTGCTTCTCAGAAAAATTAGTTTTCTTGTGGATATTGCAGTGCTTTTCTCTTTCTTGCCTTTGGGTCTAAGAATTCTTTACTAAGCTCCTCTTTCTGCTCTTATGGAGAACTGTCAATAAAAACGGCAGTTAAAAGGCTTTTACCCTCTTTTTTCTTTCTTTAATGCTAAGTCCTTTGAAAGAATGTGTTTTTAATCTACTTTTATTATAAATTTGACATGGCATAAACATGATGTCCAAAAGTTGCACTTTCTTGGGTTCATTCCTTAAGCTGTATCCAGTGTGTGTGTTTTTTTTTGTGTGTGTGTGTGTTTTTTAAGGGAAATGAATTACAGTAATGACAGAACTTGTCAGATAATCTCAAAATTTTTTTCTTTGTTAGTCAGAAATTCTAATGAATGAAAATCTAATTCAAAGTGACTTAAGCCAAAAGAAAATTTATTGGCTCGTATAAATGGAAAAATACAACAACAACCCACACAAAACAGAAGTATTGCTTCAAGCACAGCTTGATCCAGGGACTCAAAAGATATTGACAGATCCCATTTTCTCTCATTCCATGTCTTATTTTGGCTTCCTTCATGTGAGCTCTATTTTCAGACAGCCTCTTTCTGCCTGTCTTTGTGCTCAGGCAGGTGATTATCTTTCTTCTCCATGAGGCTGAGCTGACCTGCAGTTGGGTTAAGTTTCCACTGAAAGATATCTTGGTGTTTGGTCAGATTCAGCCAATTCAGTTCTACCGGGCATGTGCTGGAACATGGAGAAGGCAAGAGCTACTACTTGCCAGCTTCTCCCAAGGTCACACAAGCTAGGAAGGGAGAGATTTCCAATCCAAACCTAGGCTGCTGAATGCATCCCAATTTCCAGTGTGAACTTAATTCACATCCTAGAATCTAATCAGGAAAACCTTGTGCTGGCTGAAATGGTTTTTTGGTTTTTTTTGGCTGTAGGTTTATTTCATCCATCTTTTGAACTGTTACTTATCTGAGTCTAAACACTGAACTCTACTTAGAATTATTTCTTCTCTTAGGATGATGTGTTCTTATAAAATTTGTGTCAAGCCTAGTTTTTCTAGTCAAGCCATTATGATGACTTTTAGGCTTCAAAATATGCCCTGGGTCCTTTTGTGGCTATAAAAAAAAATAATAGCAATAATAACAACGATACCACCTGCACCACCAATGACAACCCACAGCTCGATCACCACTGACCACACATGGGTAACCAGGCACAGGGTACCTGACATATAAAAACTTGTGAATAGGCATATTTAGCAATTTTGCAGATGAGAGAGCCATGGTTGAGAGAGTATAAGCAACCTGCTCAAGGCTCTACAGCTAGTCTATTGAACACAGGTTTCTCCTCCAAAGTTCTCACACTTGGTAATGCTCCAGTCTGCTTTTAACGAAGATGGCCCATGCGTTCAACTGTTTTTCCTTTTGACACTTACTTTGAAAATTGTGTGCTGAGGTTTGCATCATAGAACAGGTTGAGGCAGCTCATGAGAACTGGAGAGGCCTATTTGGTATTTTTGAAAAGGCCCCGTGTTGTATTTTGTGCTATAAAGCAAGGTTCACCCTTTTATACATATGTTATCAGCCCTCCAAATAGGCTCCAAATGTGTACCCTACAGCCAACGTATGCCCTGTTTTCTCTCCCTGGGCTTTAAGTCTTGCCCTTAAGTCTTTATAACAGTGTGGAGTATAACTCATTCAAACTTGGAAAGCCCTGTGTTTTTGATGTGCACTATCCATTTACAAATACCAAAAATTATCCTTTAGCTTATTTTTTTTCCTTGAGAAATTTCTTCATCTTCTCATCTTTCAACTTAAAAAACCCCAACTTTGTCTTATTTAACTATTTTCTTTAAATAAGGGGGAAAATGTGGGTTTTAAGTGATAGCCAGGAAAAGCAAAATGTCAAGTTAAATGTTAGCTCTGTATGATATATAGTTGTCATTTAGAGGCAAAGAGGACTTTAAAAAAATGAGACTTCTTTTCTTCTTTGCCCAAATGCTTTTTACGATGTGTTTGAGTCTAAATGAGTTGCCAGTTGATGATTTCTGCAATAAACAGGTTTGGTCGGTGTGAATTTAACTCCTGAAGTTGAGTCACAGATGCCAGTGTTTGTTGAGCATCTATTTTGTGCATAG